ATCTTCCAGCAGGCTGATCCAGTCTAGACTGAGCAGGGTTCTAAAAAAGAGAGAATAAAAAATAGGCCAGACTTCTTGAGGCCTGAGCTCAGAGCTCATGCTCTTGGTCAAAAACCAACCAGATTTAAGAAATGAGGAAATACCTGTGAAGTCATCTTGCAAAGCCTGGGGATCCAGGAAGTAAGAAGAATTGAATACTTTTTGATAGCAGTTTATCACCCTCCCCCTACACTTTGAAAAACTATTTTTTAGAGTATTGAAAATCGTGATTATTTCACCACTTAATACTTGAGTGCATAGTCTTTCATTTTTTCAAGTCATTACGATTTTATAACTCAAATGGAAGTCATATAGGTTATTGATCCTTTCTGAATCCGGGTGTTATTACTAGAGGCTATATCCTAATTTCCACTAACAACAAAGCTACCATCACTATCACTAGGAGTCAGTTTGCTTTGTTACCCTGTTATGTATGCTAAGCATATCTTACCTCACTTAACACAGGTAAGTATGCTTGCAGGACATCAAATCTTATATTCATTTATAGGGATGGACAAGAAAGGTTGGGTGAACTGCCTAAGGCCACAGAGTTAATAAGTGATGGCTTTGAACTCATGATAAACTGACTCCACTTTCAATGTTCTTATTCACTGCACATCAAGCTCTCCTGCAGCTGGGCAGCAGGCCACAGTATCCTGACATTTACTGGGAGGCCAGGTAGAATGGAAAGGCTAAGCCAACTCTCTTCTCCATTTTTTTAAAGCAGCAAATGAATTTAAGTTAAGGGAGTAAGTTGTTTCTAGATTTAACACAGTGGAGCTTTTGTAAGAACATCACCGGGATCTATGAGGTCACTGCAATGTTGATGTTAGAGTTAGCGTGTATGTTAGAGGCTATCGTTTTGGAGACACAAAGAGTTTCATTTCCTTATTGTTGTGTTAGAAGTGTCCCGTATGGTGGGCATCCCTATCCATGTTCCTTTTTTCTGTCTCAAAACCAATCTGTTCTTAATCACTGTCACACTAGTGATGCTGGAGAAGCTGAGGCAGTTGGGAAGGATCAGTTCTTAATGACAGTAAGACATCTGTTTCCTTTTCAGGGAGATGCCAGGGGTGATTTTTCTCCTTTCTGAGGATGAGCTGGCATAGTAGGAAGATGTAACCCAGTTGGTCCAGATTCATGAAAATTCATTGATTCTTTTTTGGATCCGAGTTAATGTCAGGCAGTCAGACAACAACTTTATGTGACTGTGCCTCAAAAATAGTTTAGTATGTATTTTTTTCTTAATGTCAGCTCCATCCTGAGTTGCAATAATTGCTTTTATTTTGAGTTCTGGTGTGAGGCAGTTTATTCATATTCTTTGAAGAAAGATAAATGGGAATATAATTTTATTGCTATCTTACTGTTGCAAAACATAATTACTAAACACTGTGCCCATTCTGCATTCTGAGACAGTGAAACGGTGACTGACTGTCCCTTTGCAATACGAAAGCTATTTTGGGGCTGTCGTCATCATCGCCTAGTGGAGTCTTGCTTGCAGGGGGTCACATTTTAGCTTCCAATGACTTTTATGTAATAGCCTCTTAATGTAAAAGTCTCAGGTAAATTGAAGCTAATCCCTGCAGGAGATAAGGTCAAATGTAAAGCTAACCATTACCCATATTCTGGAAACTGATGGTATCATCAATGTTTGTTATGGCTTTTAATTTACAGTCATTTAAAATCAGAGCTTCAATGAAGCATACTTTTATGGGAGAGAATTTCTTGGATCAAGACCCTGTAGTTAAAAATCATTAAAATTACAAAAGTAAGATCATCATTATTGAACAATTAGTATCTACGAGCTATTTTATTATGGCAATTAGAGACTGAAGATCTCACTAGCCTAAATCAGTAGATTAATTGAAGTTGAGCCTGTTTTCACTCACTTGGCTGTCTGGTATTTTTATTCTCCATTTCAGGGTAGGATGATATATTAACCTGGAAATAATGGTCTAATAACATTTGAAAGCTTTACTCCTTACAGATAGAGGAAAGCTCATTAAACAAATACATAAGATGCCCTTAAAGAAATCAGCATTGAATGTTAATGGAACAGAATATTAAATAATAGATTGCAGGTAAAGAGTTGATATATAATTATAAACAATGAATTTAGATGACTATTATCAGTGTTTCAGAAGAGAGAAGGAAAAGAAAAATTCAAAGGCCAAGGCATTAATATTCTCTTCTGGTTTTTCATCTTAGAAATAGCTAGATAGTTCAGTATCCTCCAAATTTGTGCATATGTGTAAAACTTAGGCAGTGTTCTGCTTTTTATAGTGAAAGCAGTTTTTTCACTTTTTATTTTTTGTGGATTGAAATAATTCAGTTCATCAGGAAAATGGGTGTTAACTGACATAATGACACATTTAAAATTATTTTTAATTACCATTGTAAGTTATTTGTCATTTTAGGAAATATTCTCAACCACACAGGGAAATGGTTGATGGTTAACCTTGTAGCATCTATCAACTTTATTTTAACTACAAAGAGAAAAAACTAAGTATATTTGTGTGGAGTTACTGGAGAATAGTTTCATAAAAAGGAAATCATTGCCAACAGAAAAAATGTATTTAATTTCTGTTATGTTGACCTTTTAGTGTACATGAACTTAGAGTATATGTTATTCTGTTTGTTTGTTTGTTTATTTATTTTTGAGTTTCCAGGTTAACCACACTCTTCTCAGCTTTAAGCCAAACATAAGAAGAGACATTAAGACTTTCATTCTTTTCTGGGTTGCCTCCTTCCTGAAGAGCAATGGAGATGCCGTTAAGTGGAAGAGGATTAATCACATCTATAATTTTCTTCCTGTTAAAATTCTCAACAGCTGTTGATATACCACTTTCAGGTAAAGTGACAACATTCAGTACCTACTTAGGGAAGTCCATATTTGCATTTTGATTTTTAAGTAGAAAAATTATAGATTGAGCATGTGATTTTTCTACCATATTTCTACAGATTTTATAGCAATCATCAAACTTTGTGTCCTCCATTTATATTTTTTAGAAGGCTTGTATTTATTTGGCTGCTTTCTATAATTAATGAATTTTGCTTCTCGGGCTTTTAGCCTCTTTGTAAACTTGGAACATAACAAGATGTATAACCTATAAATCAGGTGGTATTTGACCATGTAAGGTAGTCTGCAATATTACCAACAGTTATTGCTTCTATGTATCAGATGAGTTTTTTTAGAAAGAGTTGTGGCTCAGAAATGCCTGGCATTCAACCAATTATAACAAAAAGGAATTTAGTAAACTTTGAATTATTTTTCAAAATTATTATATAAAAATGAAAATTAGGAAAATACTAAAAAAATTTTCATGGTGTACAACTAAAAGTATTAAATGATATCAATTCTGTAAAGTTAGAGCATTCTGTAAGGTGAATTCGTATCAAAAGGTTGTTCAGTCATTTTTATGGGTGTATATATCTTAGCATATGTTGGTAAAAATGGATGTAAATCTTTAACCATCATAAATCAGTTTGAACAAGTTACAGTAATTAAAAGTTCAAAAATGATACATCTGCATACACATTACAAAATGGCATATAAATATGTAATGTACAGGTTTAGGAATTTCTCTTGTTTATTAGCACATGGGATAAAGAAAAGGCCGTTGAGATGTTTTTATCCATATAGTTCAAGTATTAATCTCTAATATCTCTTCTATATGTAATTTGGGGAGTTACAAGAGATAATGGTTGTTTGTTGGAATTATAGCATTGGAAATAATCTTTGCAGATCATCTGAATTTCAGGGAATTAGTCTTGACCTCAGAAAGTTGAATAAATATTAGAGAGGTGCTAACAGTGAACTTAAACTTTTGTTGTGAAGTACTTAGTCTGAATGTGAATAGAAAAGGAAATAATTCTCTGACCATATAATATGTTTTAAAACCATTTTCTGAGGGCTCCCTTAAATACTCCATGTAGCAATTTCACATGACACACTTTGGGCAGCCCTGCATTTATAGTTCAACCCCATGGTAAGAATCTTTTCTCTACTGTCCTTGAGAGATGGTCAAGTCTGTGTTTGAATATTCACCTTTCTTAAGGAATTTTACCTACCTGTTCTACAGATGTACAAGTTTAAAGTTCTATTTAAATCAAGCTGAACTATGTTAGCCTATACACAATATATACCAGCCTGTTTGCACAAACACTGGTCAAGAACCTGAAATAATTCATCTTTAGTAGATTCTTTTGGTTTGAGTATGCAGTGCTAAATTAAGAGCAAGGTTCTTGTCAGTCTTTGCAGGAAGGAGGTTAATACTTTTACATTTTCTTTCCAGGAGCACCAAGGTTGCACTAGGATTCCTGACTCAGAGTCCTGAGCATAGAATATACATTTTCCTTCCATTTCTTTTCATTGAGTTCATCAGTGGTGAAGGATATGAAATTTTGTATTAGTCCCTAAGACACGTTTTTATTCTGGTTGTCTCCGTTACTTATGCATTTTCATGCTGTAATGTCCTTAGACAACAGTTGTTATAAAATATTAATGACATGTTTTCAGAGCAACTGAATATTCTCCATTTATTTCTGTACTCTAGAGCTCTCGCTAGCAAATGCAACTAAAGCAGGTGTCCAATTTGAATGTCAACAAGTCTGGTGTCTCTGTAATTGGCCTAATTATAGAGGAAAGGATTTATAATGTAGAATATATATTTTATAAACACCCAAAGGTTATTAGCTGCATTCCCTGAATAATTAGTTATTGCTGACACTTTATAACCTTAGCAAATTTAAGAAAGAATAATGTTCTAATAGACAAGTTGTTCACAAGTTATCAGCTGATATCTTAGGGACTGGTGCTATTGTTCATATCCCTCACCGTTTATAACTGTAAGAACATTTAAATAATATGAATTTGCAACAAATTCAAGACCTGCTCTACTTAGAAATGGTGATAATCAGTGATAAGGAAAATGTCAATGAACATATGAATGTTTTTTGCATGTCATTACAATGTTTATGAGTATTCAATGGGTAAAGCCTAAACTTACGCTAATGTCGCTAAGCTAGTAAAACTCAATTATTAGATTCATTAGGTGAAAGTAAAAAGAAAATTGAAATTTAGAATTGAAAACGGTGTTGAGTTACTGTATTAGGATGGCATCAATGCTCAAAATGCGATACATGGACCCTTCAGGGTCACACAGATTTGCTCAGGCAGTCCATGAGATCACATTTCATAATACTGAGGTGTCATTTTTCCTTTTTCACCATGTTGACATTTGCACTGACATTACAAAAGCAATGGTGGGGAAAATGCAGTTCCAGCCATGGGCACCAAACTGTGCCAGTACTCTTGAGATTGTATACTCGTAGTAAAGCAAACCAATCGTCTAAAAATAACAAGTTTTGCCTAAGATTTTCCATGTTGAAACAGTTAAACATTATTGATTTTATTAAATTCTTATCCTTGAGTACATTCTTCTTGGTGTTCTGTGGGATGAACTGGGAAAGGAATATGAAATAGTTCTGCTATGTAACAAAGTACCGTGGTAGTCTCTATTCCTCGATAGTGTCATGATTTGAATGCAAAGTTTTTACTTAAAAGTATAACTGACAGACAGAATTTGATGACTTTGATGGATATTTTTCCTGAAACAAACGAAGTGAGCCTGTCACTTCAAGAGAAACAAAGGATCATGTATATTGTCGATGATAAAATTGAAGTGTTTAAGCAAAAATTAGAATTGTGGAAAACTTGTGCCTTCTGCCGTGAGTTTAAGAGCTTCCCAACATTTAAGGCTTTTCTTGGATCAGTGATAATATTGACAAATGTGAATTTTTAATATTGTATAATGACATGTGTCAGTATTTGAAAGTTCTGCATAACTCAGTGAACCAGTATTTATTTTCTAAGTGAATATTGTAAGATGTTACAAAACCAGGCATGAATTAAAAACCCACAGATAAAGATAGATTAATATGACAGAATGAACATTTGTCAATATGGTTTCAGGTTCCATATTGCAATAAAACTCTTAAGAAACTACCACTTACTGATTTTTGGTATACTATCCAAGAACAGTGCCCACAATTACCAGAAAGGACTATAAACTATCTCACCCTTTTTCAAGTACACATCTGTATAAGTTCGGATTTTCCTCATTTATTTCAACAAAACAACTTATTGCAACAAATTGAATATCAAAGTAGAAATAAGAATCCAGCTGCCTTCTAGTAAGATGTTAAAGAGATTTGCAATAATGTAGAACAGTCCCACTGTTCTCTTTATATTTAGTATTTTTGATAAAATGTTGTTTATTTAAATAAAAGGATTATTTTAAATTAATATAAATTTGAGATTTCTCAGTTTTAATTTCTAATATGCCAAATATTATTAAATATATCCTAATGAACAAAACCCTTTGAGGATTTCCTATAATTTTTAAGGGTGTAAAAGAATTCTGTGACTAAAAAGTCTATTTATCTGACTTGAGCCTCTAATTATACAAATGAGAAAACAGAGTGGTTCAGGGCTTGGCTCAATGTCACAGGGTTTAGGGCCTGTTTGTAACTCCACTTTGCAATATTACTCATGCAGTCACTCTCAGTGCCTTTCTGAAAATTGCTTTTCTCAAAACATTTGCCAAAGTCAGGTTCTTGCTGCTGAACCATTTATACTTCCTTGTGAATTCAACCCTGTCCTCTTACAGAGATTTTAAGAACCATAGTAAAATTATCATGTCTTAATTTGAAAACTATCAAGTGCCCCTGACAGTAAATTTTTACATATTTCATGATCTGTGTCCTATTTCAAAATATAACCCAAGTTTGTATCTTCAGCATTAATACATTTATGTCATAGTCACAGTTCTCAGAAATGCCATCCAGCTACTTGAGTTGGTTGGAGGCAAAGTCGCCCCCTGCTTTTTAAATTTGTCTTGATGGTTACCTAATTTGTCAAACACAATGTTTATCACAAGATGAGGAAATACTTGAATAGGTAGAATCCATTTAAAAGGGGGAAAAAATAATCTCAAGCCTCCAAGTGGGATTAAAAAGTATAAAAGGAATATTTGTAAGTGGGAAAGGACAAATAATAAACAAGCTTAGGGAAATATTCACAACAAAAGCGATATATAGAAGTAAAAATAGAGAATGAGTTTTTTTTCATAATAATTAGTAAAGTATTTTATTTTAAAATGCTACTGTTTATTGGTGGCAGTGATGTGGGAAACCACTGTATTCATATGTTCTTTGTGGTAAATATTTCCTTATGAAATTATATTAAGATTTATCCAGAATCATTACCATTTGTGTCCAAGCCTGGAAATTTATCATAAGTCATTTATCAATAAAGGAAAAATCTGTAAGCTTAAGGCTCTCTTTTAAATGAAAAAAAATATAATGCCCAATGATAAAATTAAGTAATCAAATTTCAGTGGGAATAAACTATATAAAAGTAGTAAATTAATTATAATATCTTTGAAAACCATACAGAAAAAACAGAATTGTGAAAACGAACTAAGTAAAAATGCACGTACACGTCTCTGTAGACTAAATGCCGATAATTTAAGTATTGATGTTTTAAAGTTGTAATGATAGGATTATTTTTCTTCTGGTTTAAAAATTGATACATTATTCTGGGTGTAAATAAAATGAATGTGCATGGCAACGTGAATTGATGACAGTGAAGTATAGTCCTTATAGCTAAGTACATTTTGCAAAGAGGAAGTCAGATTTGTTAATACAACTTTCATTGTTTTATACTCCTTTTGCTTACAAATATAGACAGCATGTTTTAAGTGTTTTTGAAGAGCGTGTTATTTAAATATCTATTTTAATATTTAGTTCAACAGGTTCCAACGATCATAAAACAGTCAAAAGTCCAAGTTGCCTTTCCCTTTGATGAATATTTTCAGATTGAATGTGAAGCTAAAGGAAATCCAGAACCAACGTGAGTATTTCTGTCAAACTAAATAATTGTTTAAATGTGTACAATCCTTTATACTTTTTACTCTAATCATTATGAGCTTAGTGGACTTTAAATCTACATATGATTGAAAGTAAGGATTTCCAAATGAATGCTAACTATTTCTATAAAAGAGGAGCTTGGTTATTTTTGCCATTAAATATTGACAGTTAAAATTATGTTTACCGTGAGATAAATTGTCTTATATTAAATACCTAGCATAGGTTTTGGGACTGTGGAAACAGTCAACGGTTCCTTACCTTATGAGTGAACAAGGTAGCTAAAAACCAGAAAATTATTTATTCTACTTAATGAAGGTAGCATTTATTAAGCTAAAAGTTAATACATTTATAAACAATATTCTGTACATATTTCTTACTGCATTTCTTATAAATGTGACACATATTCTGTGAATAGGTTGTTAATATTTTTTAAGTTGTCATAAAAATGTTTAGTCATCTAAGATGACAGAATACAATCTACATGGTTTATTACTGTCTACTGTTTTATTATTAAAGAAGTAATTGTTACTGTAGGTGAGCATAATCACTGGTTAAGTTGTTTTCAAAGTACCTCCTGGTTTTGAAAGAGAGAAAGAAATGTGTATTGAGAGAGAGGAGGGAAAAGTTGTGGGGAGAATTCAAGATTTTTAATTTCTAAATGATTCTCACGTGGAGAGGAAACATACTTTTATTGATTTACCTGATCATTTTATATTTATTAAAAATGAAAGACTGAAAATTGATTATTTAAAATTGTATTGTGTCTAACATTTTTATTGCCCTATAATTTGATATTTTAAAAATTATTAGTAACCATTAACATGTTAAATTGTCATTATTTCTTTTACCAAATGGATACATATGATTAGTATATGTAAATATGGGTAGAATTATACTGGAATGAAGGAGAATTTATTTAGTCAATGTGAATATGGATAAATAAATATTATGATACATATTAATATTAATTAACTAAATCATGTCAAAAGATAATGCCATACAGTCATTGGAGATGATTAAGGATGAATTGTATTTATCATGTCAATATTCAGCACTGAGTTTAATTATGAACTTCCACTAGTATTTTTGATAAATCATTGAGAATCGGCAATAGAATATCTGCTATTAGCACTATCATTTATTTTTCTTGAGCCATAACCAGTTATGTAAGAAAATAAAGCAAATATTAAGAGAATATATTTAATATTATATTAGTATTAATAATAGTAGCATTATTAGATAATTTGATATTCTATCTGAAAACTCAAGAAAATTCACTTGGGAAAAAACAGATTTAATAAATATGAAGGGTTGCATTAAACGTTCAATTATTAATCTTTTAAAAACTTATAATTAAATGCCTGTTCAAAACAGAAGATAGTTAGAAAACAAGAAGAAAATAATAACCCATCACAATAGTAAAAGGAACACACCCAGCAATTTCAGTAGTTACTAACTGCAGTATCAACCAAAGTAACATCAGAAACTGCGTAACAAGAACTATGTAGCATCTAAGTTGGGAAGAGGACAAAGAAAATTTGAATGAATGAAAAGATGTAACATATCACCAGTTGGAAATGTTTAATTTTAATATGTGGAGTTATCCCAGTCAACATAATGGTATTTTAAAGAATAGATTCTCTGTGCTCTTTTCTAAGTAAAACCAGCAAAATGTAAAATAC